TCCAAATTGAATATTCACCTTTCCTTACATACTGCCTATAGTTAGCATCGTATATCCCTACTTTTTTATTAAAATAATCTTTTTAGAAATGTGATGGACTTACTGTGACTTAGGGATAATAAATGATTTTGCATATAAATGATCAGAATCTGATTACAGTTCTATATTAAAAAGGCAAAGGCCAAAAACAAAGGGATGGCGCAATCGTCAAGGAAGCGCCTTTCACCTTTGAGATGCTGGGTTCAATTCTCATTGCGGACTTACGTCGACACTATACGGAGCGTCGTGGGTTTTCTCCGGGTATTCTAGTTCCTCCTGCAGGGAATGTTGACTGGGTTAGGATTAGCCCCTAACTCATGACCCTTCCATCCCAGTTGTGCTCCGTGATCACATATGAATCACATATAACGTGGCAGCCTGCGGCGCCCTTAGAAAGCCCTCGAAGCGATCAGTTTGAGCTGCATCCTTCGTAATTCATCTCTCAGCTGCAAGTGAGAATGATTAGCACTGCCCACTTACCAACTTCCTGAAATGAGAAAATCTTTGTTTTCCTTCCTATACCTATTGTATCTTTATTTTTTAGTAATGCTTGAAACCTGCATATATATAGCGAATTATCGATCGTGTCTTTATTTTACATTGAGCACTCTTTTCCAGTGTTATATATACCCGCATTGCACCAAATTTTGTTCAAGTCAGTCAAACTTGAAATTATCATGAATTTTATGAATAATCAACCACAGGCATACTTTTTTCATAACCGTTCAACCGGTTTTCTCTTTATTGTTAATTACTCTTCTCCTTGAATACATAAGCTGAGTTGTGAATTATAGGTTAAAGCAAACGAAAATAATCGATTGTTTGTTGTTTCTGAATTATTTTATAACGTTTTATTTTGCAGAACTATATAACGGGTATGACAAACACTAATCAAATATATATGTATATGTTGCTTGCCTTCCCAAATAATGATTTTCGAATTCCGGATATATATCTCACAAGATCTTACATAAAATCACAGTAGTACAGTGTCGATTTGCATGAAACACAGACTATATGCAGAAATTGTATTCTGATAAATTTAACTATACACTAATGAGCAACATACATTTTGTTTACACTCTTCCCGACATAAACCGGTCAATGTGAAACCATAACATCATTTTCAAACAATTCAAAAATTCATTACACTGCGTTTGCGCTAATTCTAGCTAAAAACCCCCGTCAAAAAAGCAGGGATCCGGATAGATAACTGCGTACTATATTACACAATCAGTTAACAAAAAGACATTCTCACCTTGATAAAAAAATGTTCTGTCTTGTGCCAATGCAGCAAACGCGAAGTACCGGAAAAATTTAGGCACCGGATTCGGAGACAACCAGCATTTATTTAAATTTCTGGTTTGCGGTTTTCGCCGGAATGGCTGGGCTTAGTATACGAACGAATCTGACGTTCATAAAACCACACTCTCCCAAAGGGCGCTAAAAACACCTATCGCGCGGCACATCAGCCGGTTATATGACAGGCCCCCTCATTGCCATCCAGATCATTTAGCTTAATTTATTGTCACTAAATGGCATTTTCTAACGTAAACAGCGCAAAAAACGTATGATTTATTTAATCAACTCCTCTTTAGTTTATCTGAGATATATGTTTCGAAACCAGGAAGAGCAAAACTGTTTTCATAAATGCTTACACTTTTTAAAGCATGCGCCTTGCATAATGTTTAAATGGCCGTCTTTATTTGTAAGAGGTTTGAGGGTTTTTCGAAACGCCGGCTGAGCTTCAATTTCACAGCATGGGATATGTTTGTGCATTCACAATGATGCAGTCCGCAGGTGAAAATTATACAAGATGACTGAAGAGCTGCCCTTGTTTCGTGTTATTGAAAATTTTAAGTATCGGACTACTGTATATGTCTAATGTCTGTTTGGGCACTATTGTCGTTTGGAGATCAGTTTAATCAAATTTGAAGCGAATAAAACCATAAAAATTCACATGTACAAATTGTGGGTATACTATAGACCATAGTATATAAATTGCAGTACTTTAAGCCTTGTTTCAGCTGGGTTTCCAGCCTTTATCGCTCTGCCAGACAGCAGGGTCTGAGCCCAAGAATACTCACCGCCAGACCGACTTACATGGGGGCTCAATAATTTGTCAGGGGTGGGCCACCGCCCCCGCCCCCCCCCCACCCCCTCTGGCTACGTCACTGCTTGCAGTTGGAACTTTGCAACGGTGATTTCGCATGGCATGACTAGTTGCCATGGCTATCTTTCAGCGCCTTCGCCACTGTAGCGAAACAATCCACTCTGAATCTGCCGTTTTCTGTTCACCAACACACCAACTGCTGCTTCACTATGGCCTGCCAACTGATGGTATAATGTCTTGCAATGAATTTCGAAATCGGATTGTCCTTCGCCTCGGGATTGATTAAAGGGTGTTTACTTTCTTGAATGAGTTTCTTCTGACTGAGCATTTGATACAAGTACTGCAGGTCCAGAAGATCGAGAGAGGCGTCGATTCAAACATCGCTTCTTCCCGTCAATTTATCGTTCACGACATCCCCATTAACTCAAAGAGCTTGTTGTATTGTTGGTTGATCGAAATTCAAATCCTTTACCGCAGAACCACAACTTTCTTCTTCAGGCCTTGACTCGATCACTCGAGCTGAGTTTGAAACCAACTTCGTCAAATGAAAACCTCGACGAGCAAGCAACGTCGAGAGACCTGATTAGCCAGCGAAACACCTTCCTCTTCATCGTGAGCAAACTTTAGGCGGTCACGCGCCGAGTCCTCATCCACGTTTCTCTTAACTGTGTCGATAAAGTGTATTATTATATGGCTTTTCAAAATTCTCTATTCTGATTGGTTGACAAGAGGTGCGTAAAAACCCATATCCGGACCGTGGTCCGTATTTTCCGTATCTGGACCGGTGTCCCGGATGTCATTTATCTGGAGAGAAATTTTTGCTTTGTAAACAGAAAAAATGTTTGCTTTTTAATTTTCCAATTGTGTGTCATTAAAACTTACAGATAAAACTATTTCAAACAACCAAATTGTTTTTGATTGAGCATGCATGCCTACCGTACATTGTTACCCAGTGCAACTGACGATAGCCGATTTAATTCGCGCGAAAAGCATATGCTCACAGACTCAGTTCAGCCATATAATAAACCGATTATTGACCTCGCTTGTTCGGTCTGTACTGTGAAATATCAGACCTCTGTTTTTTGCATGGACCTCGCTCCTTTGTCGCTCGGTCCATACTAAAAAACCTCGGTCTGATATTTCACAGTACAGACCTCACGCTCGGTCAATAAGCCGTTAATATCAAAGACATTCGAGTTGTGCGGTCTGTAGTTCTTATATACAAACTGCGAAATTTACACCGCTGGGGGAGGTGGTGCACGAAAAAGATGAACCGACATCTGTAATTCCTGAGGCCACCAGAGGAAACGCAATGCATAATAATCATTAGAAGTAACGCACACTTTTGTCAATGACGTACAGGGACAGCGGAGTATATTTTGGATTGGTGAATGGTGGGGCTTAACGACTGCTTGCACGAGTTCCCTCCTGTTAATGTTTCAATCGCACAAAAAAAACTAATGACGGAAAAGCTATTGGTGGGGCTAAAGCCCAGCCACCCTGCTCCACGGTCCCTGACGTAAGTCTTACATTTTAGATTGTTCTGAAGATGTTGTATTGTAAACAACGAAACGTTAGCTAATATTTTTTTTACTTTTATTATATTTGGATTTAAAGTTATTTGCTGGGCTCTGCTCTTTATCTTTAAACTAAGATTTCCGCCTGGTGTATCAATTGCCACAGTCTTATGTCTGTGTCGCAAGTCTTATATGTCTTCATTGCGCAAGCAAATTGCACCATTGATGCGATTAACTAATATCGGCGATACTGAGCATGCGTACTGAGCATGCGTACTGAGCGAGTTTATTGCGTCACAGTGGTTGCATTGAAATAAATAAACGTCAAAAATTATATTTATTGTCATGCAAGGCGGCAAACATACTTGCAGATTAAGCCAAAATCTTACCAAAAATTAAGGACTAAGGTTAGCCTGCGTGGCAGGCGGTATTTCTACGGGCAGCGAAAATTAGGGAGGCAAAGCTGCCACGCAGGCTAGACTAAGGTCGACGTCCACATTACTATTAGTCAGTTTATCTGCTTCACAATTGGCTGAATTTCACGTATCCTGATTGGCCAATGTTATTCACTTTAGCTTCAAAATGGTGGTCAACATGTTCATTGTTAATAACAGGTTTACGGAACAAAAGCTTTGACAAAACAATGACAAAGGCAAGTGGGCAACCATAGCTAAAGAGACCGCCAAAAAAGGCCCGCAAATCAGTTTTTTAAAGGAGAACATGACCCAAATAAGTCGAGAAAATCAAAGCTGAAGTTTAGTGTAAATCAGGACAAATCTTTATCCGATTTACAAACATTGATTAAACATTCATTTCTTTTGTATTTTCCTCGTGAATTATTAATGAATTTTTTAATTGATGTTATTAATGTTTAATACTTTAGTTTGTGGAAACACCACGTAAATTAAACAAACTAGAAGTATTATATGTTTCCACAAACTAAAGTATTATATGTTTTATCGCCATGCAAAACTACAAAGAACATATTGTTTGTTGGTCAAAATAATTCGACTACAATAGGCTTTGTTCACAGCTCACACACTTCTATAAAACACACTCCTTGCAGTCACTGCTACAATCCTGTGCAAAAATTAATGAGACAACTAAGTGATTGCCCCCCCCCCCTCTCCCCACAAGCAATGTTGGACAAACGATACCAAGGTATATTGTCAGGTCAACAATGAATAGGGGGAGTGGGGAAATAATCACAGAAATAGAACCTGAACGAAATATCAAAAGTCTCATTATTTTGGCACGCGATTGTAGGGCCAGGTTAACAAAGGATAAATAAATAGATTTGGGATGCAAAATAAAAATCACAACACATGTTTTTGTAACACAACTTTTATTTTATAGAACAATTTAATTTAAAATATATCTTTACAAATGTTGGCAGAAGTCTAAACGTAAAAATTTTATGTACAATAATTTAAAATTATTTCACACTCAATGGAGACTCATGCCACACTACTGTCCATACGGTGGCATGCGCCGTTGCTATGACGATGCCTGACAATTGCGGGGGACAAAGACAGCTGCATTTGGATTTAACGTACTTCTTCCTGAAACCTTTAGAAAGAAAATGAATGATAATTTAATTAAAATAGAACTATGGTTCCACCAAAGTAGGCAGTGACAAATTGGTTGAATGACCTATCAGAAAAATATGGAAGTTCTTTTTGTCTTTTTAATGCTAGATCTTTCAACCAAGCTTGTAAACTAAAATATAGAAGACTACTGGTACGAGGGCAGAATGTGAGTATAATTTACAAGACCTGTAAAAGGAAAGGGTTGGGCCGCACAGAAATAGAAACCAATACACCATGGCCACAAGCAAACTTTGGGCACAGCCTTTTAATCAAGGGAGAGAATAATTAATGTGGTCTTTTGTGAGAGTCAAATTCACTTTATAATGCCCAACGCTTTCATAATAATCAAGAATCTTTATAAACAATGGTTAATGTTTCACAAACATTCAACCATCATAATTGCCCTAACCAGCTGGATTTACAAAACAAATTATTTTACAGTATTAAGGGGACAGCTGTTTGGTTAGGATGTTTTGAGCTGGATTGAAAATTGATATTACAAACATAATTGTTATGTGTGCAAGACATTTTGGGGATAGTCCAGTAATGGTTGTTATTTGATGCCAAAAGTTTCGTAATGATCACATCTAAAAAAGGGGCCAAGGGCATAGGTCAGCATATCATCACAAACTTGAGTAAAAATTCAAATGTATAGTACAAGAGTATGACAGTACTAGCTATGTTTTCATCGAGACAGACAGAGTGAACAACGCACAAAGTTGCTGGGCTTTCCCCCTTTATTTCAAACCACATGCTTTGTTTAAACGGTGTTTTGCATAACTTATATTCTTTATTTACGTCAGACAAAGATTTAAATACAATATATGTCGGGATAATAGGTAGTTGTTAAGTGGCCAAGCGAATGGCCAAAGTATATACTCAAGCTTGACAGATTTTATGGCACGCAAACTTGTCGAATGTCAAAATACAGATTTAGCAAAGCAAGGTGGTTTAGCTTAGAGAATAAACATTATGGAGTATTTTCATTGCGAATCCACGGCACGTATTATTTTAGTGCTTTTCTATACACGCGTGTTCAAAAAGTTTCTATACTATAAACGCACACATCTTTTATAAATACGGATTTGAACCAAAGGCGAATGTATTTTATATAACCCGAACGGCTTTAACGCGAAATTTAACGTATTATAAAACAAGATAAACCAAGGCCATGTTTAATAAATGATAATTCTCTAAAAACGGCTTAAAATCGTGCAAAGTTTAAACCTCAAACTATTACTGAGTACGCAAAATACTCACGGATAGTGAAGAATTGTAGCCGTTTCTGTAGCTCGTCGAAAAGACATTGCCGTTGACGAGTCTCTGGCTTTCTCCATTTTCCCCGTCCAACGTTGTCTTCTCCATTTGTTGCTGTAGAATCTCGGCAGCTGTCAACGTTTCTCTGTCTTCTTCCTCGTCGAGTAACTGCTCGATACAGCATCGGATCAATTCCTCTTCCCACAGTTCTGCCTCGATTTGTCTGTCGAATTCATCCATTTTCTCCATCCACTCGAAGTCAGCGAAGACTTTATCGTTCCTCTTTGCTCGATCCATCATTTTTCTAACCGCAAATAAAATATTCAAGCTTCTACGGGTTCGTTTCTTCGTCAATCAACTACGGAATTGTGTTGTTTTCAAAGTGCATGTATTTACGAAAATCGAATGCTTTTGTGCGTGTCGTTCGCCCGTCAATCATCACAACAACCAATCAAAACCCAGTACGAGGCCTCGCCCAAAACAAATCATTAACCGCATTTCCGGTTAGAGGTGACGTCATTTCACGAGTTATCGATTTCCGGGCGCAAAAACATTACAGGGTCATTACACTATCCATTTCTTTTTGCTTATATAGAGTCTAACTTGTTTACTCCCATGTTATTATCGTACATAGAAACCTTATTTAGTCGGTCGAAAGGGTAACAAAGTCAAAGGGGTATAGGCACGTGAACAATATTGCATCAGAGTTACACTTAGTTACGTGCAAGACGTGCAATGTCATGTCATGCAACGTTTGCGTGAATGGAATTACGTATTATGTCTATTATGGAAATAGTGAGTGTTTGTTTTCATTTTGGAAATCAAAGAAAAAGATCTACGTGGTAATGATAGGCCACTATGACGGTGGTAATGTACAAATGTGGCATTTTCACGTGTACTGAGATGAGTTACAGCAAGTGACATGAATGGCCAATGCCCAAGATTTGTTTCTGTAAGCGGGCCTTATTTGGGTGAGGTGGAATTATTGGGGTGGGCTTAATTTAATAGTGAGGGGGCTAATTCATTGAGTGTTTATGTAGATGCATTACTGAGGCACTAAGCCCCTATACCGACAACGACGACAACCGTGTTAAAAATCCTTCAATAAGCAAAATTCTCAATATAAACTTTTCATTAGCGATCTAATTTAACATGATGAAAATGGAATATTAATAAAATCTTTATTCGCCAGTCAACTCGCCAACGGGAAAAATTCTGGGACCGACTATACATGGGCGAGAAAGAACGGGCCTTTTTTTCTTCGCCCATTTTTTCTGACCCGCCAATTATTCAAAAATCCGCAAAACCTTCAATAAAATAAAGCGACTGCTATACATGTGATACACATACTGCAATATCCGGTTTACTTATGAAGACCTTGCCGGAAAAAATAGAAGGCTATCGCCAAACATCGAGGGCGGGATCGCCATGGGTACTTCCTTTTCTTTAAAAATATATAAGGTCTTTATATACAAAAGACTAACTCAGTCCTCGCCCAACAAAACTGGGGAAACAATCTGAATGTTGAGGTGGGCTTGTAGCAAGTCTAATATAGGACTTAATTTATAGGCTATAGTATCCTCATTTGTCCGGCATTATATGTTTAAATTTGTCTCATAAAAATAACAGCACATATCACATATGGATGGGCTGTTTTGAATAAAGAATGGCCATGACGTATATTAGCTGCGATGCAACCGATCTGTGGCTTGATATGGCAATCTGCAAAGTGAGATAACATTTATGAGATACGTTTATAGTAGATGGGCTCCTGCATGAGCTTTTTATATGGTCGTCATTGGTAAACATGAAGTTATCCTAACCCACCCTGTCAATTAACTTTCCCTGTGCCGGAGGAAACTGGATCCGCCCGGAGAGAACCCACGACTTTCAGCAGAGTGTTGACGGACTCTCTTAACATGAGTCCGTAGCGAGAATCGAATCCACGACCTCGGGGATGAAAGGCTTGCTCTTAGTCACTCCTTTTAGAGTTGACCATTACGGCTGCACTTTAAATACGGCCTGGAAAAGTTTTTTAACTGAGTTTCAATATGAGCTTTTCGTAAAAGTTTTGTAGAGTCAGGGTCTGCAGAGGAGAGATGGCTACATCTTGCAATGCAAAAACAAAACCAAAGACTTTCCGTTTTCTGACACTGCATGTAAAAATGACGGTGATTTATGGCCTACCACATCCGGTTCGGAGGGTAAACACTTGACATAAACGTTGCGTAAACCCTTACTTCTTTGTCAAGAAATATTTTAATGAGTATACTTTGGTCTTCAAAGGAGAATGAACAGGGCCATTTGATGAAGTCGTTTGTAGTCGTAAAATTCACATTTACACATTGGTATTTCTGTTATAAGGCTACACCAATGACAGACGACTGGGCTACACTGGGGTCAAACTCTACTATAAAGGTTTTTTTGTGATGGTGGTATTAGAATATTGACGGAGCTCGGGAGAATTTTGAATCAATATTGTGTCTTTGAAGTGGTTTACGTCACACACGTAGATCAAAGAAACCTCAATGATTTATAAAATTAACCAGCATTTACTCGCTCAAGCGTATAATCAGCTTGCGTGCAGTCTCATGGCTCGTTTGCGACGATGCCATGGGCGAGGTCATGGGATTGCACGCAGGCTACACACGTAAAAACGCACAAGTTGTGACAAACCTGCAGCAGACTTGTAGCAATGCTGTTCCAACAACTTGTCAACAGGATGTGTTCGCACTGCTTGTTCCCAGCTTATTGACAAGTTGTCAACGGCTTGTTAACAACTTGCTACCAGGTTGTTGAGTTCAGCAGATTTGTTACAAGTTGTTCCAATATGGTTGTTACAAGTGTTATAGTTGTTACAACAATTATAAGTTGTTAGTGACAAGCTTGTAGCAACTTGATAAAATAACAACATTGTTACAACTTGTTGCCAAGCTTGCTACGAGCCTGTTGTGGACACATCTTGTTGACAAGTTGTGAGATTTTTAAGTGTGTAGACATGATAGCGTGTGTGGTTAGTGGGGTTCAAGATCAAAGTGAAATATGAGGAGATCCCATCAAAGACTGTGGTGTGAAAGGGAATCCTACTCTGGTATTCAAGCATAATGAAGATGATGAATCGGACATGTGTACGTCACTGTTGCGAATCTCCCAAAGTATTTTTAAAACGATCGCAGATTCTGTGTCAAAATATTGTTACATCACTGGTTAATTGTTACACGTGTTAAATCAAAGTTATATCACTGAATACAGTTCAGTCAGACTTGTCTAATACAGACATACAGGGCAAAGCGTTTCTATTAAAGTTACAGAGTCAGAGAGGAGTCCGTTTAACCGTATCCATGGCATTTGGTGTTTCCGTATTAGAGATGTTTTTGTAGTAGAGATCGAGGTCTTTATATTAAGAGAGGTCGGGCCAAGAGAGGTGTTCGTGTTAGAGAGATGTCCGTATTAGTCTAGATCAGAGTCAGAGAGCTGTCTGTAATAGAGAAGAGTCCGTATTAGAGTGGTATCAGTATTAAAATATGTATGCGTTTTAGAGCGTATCTTTATTAGACTCTCTAATACAGATACCGCTCTAAAACGCATACATATTGTAATACTGATACCACTCTAATACGTATTAGAGAAGTATCATATCCGCATTAAAAGATGTATGCCTATTAGAAAGCTGTCTGTAATAGAGGTGTCCGTATCAGAAAGATGTTCGTAATAGAGGGATGTCCGTATTAAGATAAGTATGCGTACTAGAGAGCTGTCTGTAATAAAAAGGTATCTGCAATAAAGAAATGTCCGTATTAGAGAGATGTCCGTAACAGAGGGATGTCCGTATTAATTAAGAGAGGTATGCCTATTAAAAGATGTATACGTATTACGTATTATAGAGAGTTGTCCGTGGTATTAAAAGATGTGTGCGTATAAAAGAGGTGTCTGTATATTAGAGAGGTGTCCGTATTAGAGAGAAATCTGTATTAGAGAGACGTCGTTATTAGAGAGGCGTACGTATCCATAAAGAGAGGTTGTACAGTATCACTTTTACTTAGTGAAGCTTTAGGCTAGCTTATTTGTAATACCACGCTGTTTGGCGCCTTTCGATGTCGCGTGAAGTTTATCGGTCTTGACAAAGAAAATCACAACACGACTAAAGATATTCAATTTACTTTATTAGTAAATGAAATAGCATTTTAAAAGTAACACACAAATAGGTTAAACCACTTTCAAATATCTTCACTTCCTGTGTGCGAAATTGCGTCGCAATTTTTTTTTTAATTTATCGTGCTTTTATTTTAGTGTAGTGTGTCTGTATGTACATTGTCTTCAATAGAGAATGTCCACTTCTACTCATATAAACAAACTTACTAGACGCACATGGACATAATATAAGCGCCGCATAAAAGATAAAACTAACTTGCACTACGATAAACTGGTAGTTCAATAAATATAGTTTTTTTCCTTTCTTCATGTTAAAAACTCTTAGCAGATCGAGTTGGCAAGATGTTTTGCAATTGAATATATATGAAGTCAAATATGGCCAGGATTCCTTGACGTTTTGAGGAGCTTTGACCGGCGTATGTGTAATCTGGAAGATATATAAATAAATATAAAAACGTCAATAGTTTTTCTTATGCAATATGCACAAATAAAGGAGCGTAAGGGATGTTCCCTTAATTCTTCTCAGTAGGAAAATTAATAGATTACTTTATAATCAATGACTGTCTTATGATAGCTTTGAGAATTGGGAACTGTCACTCTGGAGGGGGGGACACCCCCAGTCATCAGATAGTCGGCAAAACATGGATTTGGATAGGAAGGAAAAAATAAAATAGTTGAGTGACACCGATTAAAAATTAAGAATGATAGCTAAAATGTGAAGAAATTTTACGAAAAAAGTAGGGAAAAATGGAACGAACAACGGTGGTTAAATGCAAAGTAAGATGGACAAATATGTTGTTGGGAAATGTTTTTTGATGTTGTGATCCCCCCCCCAATTCAAAGAGGTCTAGTGCCGCCCCTACACAAAGATATTCTTAGCTGAGTCATAAAATTATTTATTTTATCAAACACCACTGGTAACACACCTGTATTAGAGCCCTGTTGCATGGAAGCTGTTGGTAGGACATTTTCATTTGCTGACAGAGATATAAAAAATGCAAATGGTAAAATCCAAAGGCAAACTGTAAAATATCCAAGTATCTAAAGAAAGAAAAACCTTTTCATTTGTAATATGCTCATAGCAAAACTCTTTACAGGTATACACAATGATGTATTTAATATAGCTGGACAACTGGTCCAGTTTATGTGCATTCCTGGACTGACTCTGACCTGGGCAAAAACTGTAGGAGTGCTTTTAAATACATGCAAAACTAAGATTTTTTTCTTAGGAACAGAATAGACCTTTCCCCTTTTGAGTGAAATTTTGATCTAGACAAGTCTGGACAAAATTTTCATCACAGCTTGAAAGAGCATCACAAAATTAGCAATGAAGTTTCGTTGCGAAATGTTGTAAAATGCGGATAATATAGCCTTGCGAAGTTTGCCGTTTTTCAGTCATTTTGTATTACAAATGGGAAATTGATAATCAGTTTGATCATCTGATTATCAATTTCTCATTTGTAATGCAAAATGACTGAAAAACGGCAAACTTCGCAAGGCTATATTATCCGCATTTTACAACATTTCGCAACGAAACTTCGGAATATTACTAATTTTGTGATGAAATTTCAAGCTGTGATGAAATTTCCCTTTCAAGCTGTGATGAAATTTTTGTCCAGGCATATCTAGATCAAAATTTCACTCATAAGGGGAAAGGTCTATTCATAAGCTAGCTAGTGCATGATTAAATTGTACATTCTGCAACGCAATGAAAACCACTTGTCAAAATGTTGGCATAGGTATTCGGGATGACCAGTCATTTCAAGCATTTCATTGGTATATTATTAAAAATAATGCATACATTACGGAATACGGGATTGGAGTAATTAAGAACTGCAAATCAAGACTTGTAATGGATTTGTATATGCATGCTGATACTCTACCTCTGAAAATGAATAGTAGACTTGTGAAAAATATTGAAAAGCCAAATAATGGTTGACAAAAACTAATGCTGTAAAATAAAAAATGACCAAAGATTAGTTATTGCATGGATTAGCAGAATGAATGCCTGGGTCATTCCAGAAAACATCTATATATAACTCGATCCTACAAGGAGAAAATAATTGGAAGGTAACCCCCCAACTCCCTTCATACAATGTATTTCCTAACATATAATATTATCAGAAATAAATCTTCTCCCTTCTGTCTCTGGATGGCAGAAATTTCCTCATGCCCATTCACCTTGTTGGTCTAGCAATAACCTACAAAATACTACTATTGAAAACAAATATACACACCTACACTGAGAAGGAAAACAGGAGATGTAAAAGAAATGTAAGGAAAGTCATTGAGCAGCATGTAGTAAACTATATTTGTGACCAAACCCATTAAGACTACATGCCAAGGAAAACTTTCAAACAGTAATAGACCGACATAGACAACAGAAATAATCTGGCAAAAAAGAGAAAATGTAAAAGAAAATGTTACATTTGTTAATTCAATAAGCTGCAATATGCAACATAACTTAGGCCACTAATTGTTAATATTAGATGCAGATAACTGTCTACGATAAGGCAAAATTTGGCCCAATACCAATTATTGGTCAATCATATGCACTTAGTCTAGTAATAATGGAAGACGAAACAGCAGTAATGGCATTGACTGCACAGCTGCCTCAAGGACTGTTTACACTTGCAATTTTTGCTGCAATTTTCTCTGATGGATGTGAACAGGTGAATAATTAAGTTATGAATGTTCTGAGTATATGTACCCTCATCTAAACATTCCTAACTCATCCATTCGTTCAAATACATCGGGAGAAGAAATCACACCTAAAATCGCAGCGAGGGGGGGGGGGGATAAGAAACTGAAAATGCAACATAGTAGCATAATGCATTATATATTCAGCCGAAGGACATCTCAGTTTTGATTCTTTCCATATGTTGTTTACTTACTCCAATTGTAATCTTGACAATTTTTCCTGTGATCACTGTATACTCTTCCACTAGCTCTGCCAGATAGTATAGTGCTGATGCTACAAAAAGTGAGAACAATATTGCATTGGTATAGCCTTTCAATGCATGAAAGAGATGCATATATATTGGATAACATAATCATAAATGTATACTCCAGTGTAGTTTAATTTTACATTGCAAAGCTGCTTAGAGTTATTATAAATCACTCTCGTCCATGGGTGTTTAAAATGTCAATGGGGGCAGTCAGGCAGACATGCATATCTTTACTTGCAGCTAATAACAGGAATCTTGTCTGGCAACTAAATATGACATTCATATCACTAATATATTTTTTTTCTGGTTTCAATTAGCAAGCTTCCCAGTAGCTCAGTGGTTACAGCTCGCTGCTGTGATGTGAGATGTTGTGGGGTTCAAGTCCTGCTGAAGCATTTTTACTTTTTGGAAACTTAATTTTTTTTTTCTTTCTATTAAATTTAACTCTCTAGGGTTAGTGACAGAGTTAGGGTAGGGTTATGTTTAGGTTTTAGAGTAGGATCTCCCAAGAATGCCTGCAGTTCAGACCATACTGCTGTCATGCCACAAGTCCAATCTTTGTAGTGCACCTTTTGCCACTTTGACATGTGAACCAAGTGAACAACTTGTTGGCCCATTGAAGAGAGCGGTATAGCGCATTTTCTTTTATATATATTCTCATAGGCAGAGGAACAGGAGGGGGCTATAGGGGGACTAGAGCCCTATCCCATGTTGAAAAGTGCCAATTCGGAGAATCTATTTTTAAAAATATTCTGGAGGAGCATGCCCCCACCAACCAAACCAATCTCCCGTTGCCTGAAGTGAGTCCATCAGTGAAGTCATTACACGCTTCCCGAATGCATGTCACCTTGACTATAAAAGAGCCTCTTTTTCATGATTGAGTCATGCTTTAACTTATATCAGATACATAAAAACAAGGCTCTATAGCCAACATGACATACTTTCCGGAAAGGTGTATTTGTATTACTATACTAGTAGTATATAGGATATTTAAATGTGAACACAGAGTTCCACTGTATGAACCATAGGGTAAAATGTAAATTCATGGCATTTATCTAAATTAATTATCTTAATTAATTATCATAGCATTTAATTCTGCTTAATGAAATTGTAAAGTTGTCAACCAATACAACCAACAGTGACAATGTTGTACTCGAAACTCGTACTGTATCTTCAACCAAAGGACAATGTTTCAAATATTTTGATAATTTTATGCAAAAATATGTAATATAAGAATACCTACCCAGTGCTATTGTCAAAAAGAGTATTTGAATGAAAGTAGCAAGCCAACTTAGTAAATAAAGAAACATTATTATTAAGAATAGTCCCAATTAAACGTACAAATGCGTCAAAAATATAGAAAAAATAATAAAATTTTTCTAGCTGCAATCGCCATGTTGGCAAAAGTGTTTCCACTACACAAATAATTTTTCGATATTCATTGATCTTTTTCATGGTGAATTTTGTATTTCTTACTTTTTTTAACATCAAAATTCTTTTCATTTTTATTGAGTTCACCAGATATTACTATTATATTTGATCATTTTAGTTTCTAGAAGGTAGTTTAATTGTATTGTGAAGCTGTGAACCAAAAATTAAAATGGGAAAATATGAAAATGAAAAATGCAAAACAATTTTCAATTTTCCCAACATGAAAATTTCCCTGTAAATGATTGCATATTGGTATTTTTAGAAAAATGGAGGGTGCATTGTGTACTCTTGAAGTGGGTAAAATAGAAGATTCCCAGAGAATTTACCAAATACATACGTCAGCAATAAAACAACTTTGCTCAAGCCATTATGGAGAAAATGAAATTTTAACATGGGCTGGAAAACAAAAGCAAGAAACATATATACCTTTTTTGGAAAGTGGAGATATAATTGTAGCAAAGAAAAATGGAATTGTGGTGGGTTTTATTCACCATATTGAGCACACTAAAGATACCAATGAATCATGCTCAAAACAATGTTCAAATAACGAGCTTGAAATAAAAGGGTTGTTTATTGACCCAAATTTTGCAAGGAATGGACTGGGTAGATTATTGTTCAAAGAAGTTGAGGCTAAAGCACTGGAGAAAGGTGTAGAAATCGTGAATGTGTCTGCTTCATTAAATTCTCTGCCATTTTACCGAAAGATGGGATTTGAAGAAATTGAGCGGAAGTCGCACCAAATTACATGCCAGTGTCTGGTTGAATGTGTAAGGATGGTGAAGCATTTAAACAAAATAATGAAATTTTAGGGGGCTAAATAGGCTTGATTACTAGCCGTGGGGCTACTATTCAAGTAAACCCAATTCGAATGTCATTGTTTAAACAGATTGTGGTATGGCAATCTAGTAAATCTACTCAACAACATTTACTGTAGTAGCAGTAATTCACCAGCAGTTCATACATGCATAAGATTTATACATTACAAATCCATCAGTACAATTTTAATGTGTATAATCATACAAATGGATTGTGGTGATATATAATTAATTATAATTACTAAATAATTAATATATAATTAATAGATCTATAATTAATAAATAATTAATATATAATTAATATATAATTAATCTAAAATTAATAAATAATGATAGTTATTTCTATTTATTATATCAGGAAAGTCATATACTGAGTCCCATGCTCAGTTGCACAACAACCAATTTGCAGACTGTATGACTAAGACCTTTCCTTTGTTGTTTACTTCAAGTTGCCAGAAACCATTAATTTTCAAGCTAAATGAACTAAATGAATTGAATTCTAGCAACTCTGAAATAGCACTAAATGTATCTTGCTGCACTCTTTGTCATCGCTTAAATGCAGAAGAAACATTTACAAGTGGTATTAAAGCTTGTCTTTTCTGTCTTTTGTTGCTCCCAGTCGGTGAACTACCTCGATTATGATTTCTGAATTCCAGCATCTCTCATTGCCCTAAAGGTATCTTGTGCCCTCTGCCGACGTTTTGTTGCAGAAACGTTCGCAAGTGGAATTAAATCTAGTCTTTTCTCCTCATCAAATTCATCCATATATTGATGATATAGAGACTTCAACTCCAGCGGAAGTTCTGGTATGGTTGAGTTTGCAATCAGACCAGTGGTATGAACCTTTGGAAAGACAGGGGAAGGACTTTTCCTTGGTTTTGGACTTGGTCTACCATCAATTACTTTCACAGAAAAAGGTTCATAACACTCGAGTGTATCTGATAAACCCTTGTTACTCAGCCACTGCTCAAATGCTGTCTTACACCTTTCCACTTTATGTGTTTTTTCTTCAAAATTTAATCTATCTAATTCTTCTTGCATTTGTTGGCTTTCTTCCTCAGCTTTTACTCTATGTCTTAGTTCATCTTCCTTGTCAATATGCCACTGACGGGCATTGAGTATCCGTACACACATTCTATGTCCCCATATACGTGCGTAGTCGACAGGTAACAGGTTATCAGAGTCATAAGTATTGATCGCAGCTCCTGCATCAGTGAGAGCTCTCAGACAATTTACATGACCTGTGGAAGCTGCTTGGTGTACTGGAGTAAATCCGTTGAAATTTGGCCTATAGTGTAAAAAAAACAAGTGCAAGTAGTTTTATCATCCAAAATAATCTCCTTGATAGCCAACTCACTATAACTTGGCAAATGGGGGAATAATGTAAAATTTGGCAAAGCAAGTGCTCTACTAAATATTGCTTAATTCTTCCATTGCACATGCGGGACAAGATTTAGCAGGACAGCAGCATAGCAAACCTTGGCGTCTGGGTGCGTCTGCGAGGCAGTACAAATAACTTGTAGGTGGGGGGTGGGGGGGTTGACTATCATGGGTGTCACAGAATCAAGCACACTCACTTTGACGGATCAGCACCCTGTTGCAACAGATACATCAAGCACTTTAGTGATCTTGTTTTATTCTTTGTATTAATAGCAAGATGAACCGCCCTCCATCCTGTCTCGCTTTCCAAATCGACAGGCACACGTTGTTTTTCTATCAGAATTTTCAGGCACTCCAAATGACCGTTCATTGCAGCCAAATGTATTGTACTAAAACCTTGTTTTTTCGTTTGACTTAAGGCTTTTTTAAAATTGCTTCTTAACGTTTGTTCTAGCCACGTAACATCGCCTGAAGAGCTTGCCATTAGCGAGTCATCGTCGATTTGTTTTTTAATTTCCATTTGTTTTATACGTCTCCTTCGATTCCCGCCATTAGAATGCCCTTTCGCGGTAATTGAGACATGAGTCATTTTGAATTCGAAATGTATATAAACGGTTTTTGCCAAAGAAAGTAGAACAATATTAAATTCTGCTATAGATATTCTTCTATTCCGTAATTCTTTGTAAATAAAACATGATATGACGATAAAACAAAATAAATTGAATACTTGTATTGTTTGCGGTTGTCAAGGAAATATTCTAATCAGTCAAATGTGCTTCCATTTGTAACACATGAAAGCGAGGCTCTTGCCGGGCGGTGACGTCATGCTGACTTTGCAAAACGTCTGCAGGCTGGCAGACCTTCACCTGTCACCTGCGTCGACCTTGAACCTATTTCGTCGTATAAAAATACATTGCGTTCGAGAAAAGTCGAGTTTTTTCCAAATTTGCAAGTCATGTGCTTAGCGTTTGTTTATCTGTAATGGTCAATAATTCTGTGGTGTGATGGCAAGTATATGGCGTTGGAAATTTAGCTTTTGAAAAGGAAAATCTGTGTAAAAGAAAAAAAAATAATATTGTTTGCCAGCCAATGCGTATGTCACTGCGATACTTCCTAGTATTTTGCACTGGTATGTTACATAATAATAATTCTTTATTTTATTGTCTTATTATTTTCATTTGTTAGTCTTGTCCTCTTGTCGTTTTATTAAAATCAGATCATAATTGTCAGAATTATGGCACTTGAGACTGTCCGTCTGTCTCTCAGATATATGCCAGGATAGATGAATTATGCCAATGAATAAATATGCCAATATGGCAACATATAGATGGCAATTGTTCCTTATAACATAAATAATCTAGCAAGTATAAACTATACGTATCATTGTCTTGTTTGTAAATACATTTAATATAGTATTTGAATTTTAACACAGTAAGCTACAGTACTAGACAATGTGTTCATTGATCGAATCCTGATCACATTATTACTCTGCATGCAATGCTTATATTTTTGAGAATGGGTTGTTCCAGAAAAGATCCACAAATCCCCCACAGAGGAAATTTCTGCCGTCCGGAGGGGGAGGGGAGAAAAAATTATTTCTGATAATAGTAAATGTATTAGGACATCCGAAGGGGGTAGGGGGGTTAACTTCCAATTTCCTCTGGGGGTGTTGTATGGATGTTTTCTGAAATGACCCAATGTCAGTTAAGTTTGCTTTTGTCAAGACAAGACCTGCTGCAACTAACATGATATGGCCACTATTTGTTGTATGTTAGTTTTTGATCAGGGACTTTCCTCAAAGATGATGTGGGCCGCCATTACCATTAGGACAAAAAAGAAAGTATTCTGTTCCTGGTCAGTTTGTCTGTCTCACAAAAAACATGCCAACATATGCAATGCATTTGAGTACCAATTACTACTTTGGCTTCACCTCAGATGACAATTGTTTCATTGTTGACCATTGGTTCCTTATCAAAGTATGCAGTGAACATGGCGAAATTTGTGGACTGGCACATGATACGGTTTTGTTCAATCGACAATCAGGAAAATTGAACTTTGACACTTAATGATATGTATTCATAAACATGTAACATATTACTTCTGTGTCAAAATTTCAGTAGATTTCGTTGACCAAGCCACCAAGGAAGATAATTTTCTTGACATGATCAGCAGTTTTTTTTAAAAAGTGTGTACAGTACTGTTCGTGTATATCTTAGCATACCATACGTATATGATACATGTATCATGCATGTTAAGATATACGCGAGCAGTACTCATGTAGTTGAAGATGATGCACTTTTTTCTGTTTTGAACTTTCATTGATTTAATCTGGTGTCAATACTACTTGAGGTTTGAAATAGTGTCCAAGGCACTGGGAACAAAATGGTACTTTAGCAAAAAAATTGGTGTGTGAAATTTCTAATGATGTATTATTACGATAAAAAATGATGGTCATTGAGACGGCTGCCTAAGGAGGCAAGAGAATTGAAACTAATATGCAACAAATAGTGGCCTAAATTAAAAGCCATTATTTCAATTGGTAATAATTGCATTCAATCATTTTAGTTATTGTTGGATTTGTTTGTCATTTGGATATAACATCTGGTGTTAAGCTTTCCTGTGTGGCATGTCCAAAGGGTTCTTTTGCAAATCAGTGTATGTATGTTACTTGGTAGTTAATGATAAATAAATATATGAGAGCTAAGGAAGCATGTGCAATGGGGAGGCAAATCGGGAGGCAAAAGATTAGGGGGTTTGAGAATTTTGCCTGACTTTGAAATTTGTCCAACTTTGTTCCATTTTTTGTTCCATTTTTTTAGGGGGGGGGGGGAAGAAAGGGGAAAAAGCAAAACATTTTCGGAAGGCTTAAATGTCTGACATTGGCCAGCATGTATATATCTTAACCATAAAGTTGGAAATTAGATATAACCATGTCATCTAGGTTCCCGTATTGTTGTGTCAATCTGCATACAGTTTAAACCAGTCCTGTACCATCTATTATTTATATTTTTAATTATCTTTAATTAAATTTTAGCTGTGCCTTCATGTAAGGCATGTAACAAGACTGGATATTGTAATGGAGCTGTAAACTGCACAAAATGCCATGCTGGGAGTTTTCAAGATAAGACAGGACAAACATCATGTCAACTATGTCTTCCTGGTTATATCAATAGGTAGTGTAGCCCATTATGTACTCAGGATTCCTCCTTTTGTCATGGTTTCAATCTATCCACAACTAACATCCCTACTTTTACAACGACTACCAACAATACTACTACTAACAGTACCTCCAATATCAGCACCACTATTATTAGTTACGGTATCATCATCACTACCATAAATACCACAGCTGAGCTACTTACACCACCTCCACGTTTACCAGCAATTACCATCATCACTATGTAACCATAAGTGCCACCATTGCCACTTAACCATTTCCAAGATCACTGCTATTGTTACCACCATCACTCTAATAAATACCACCATTACTACTTACACCACCTCCAAGATCACTACCATTATTACCATCATCACTATCAGCACTATAAATACCATCATTACTTACTTACACCACCTGCAAGATTGCCGCCTTTGTTACCACCATCACTACGATAAGTGTACCACCACTATTACTTTTACCACCTCCAAGATGATCACCACCATTATTATCACCATCATAAATACCACGATTGCTATACCAACAGCACCTCCAAGAATGTCATCTTTGTTACCACCATCACTACCTACAAGATCACCACCAATGTTCACCATTATTATCACCATCACTACCACATTCACCATGCAACCATTGAATGGTTGGTACTAAGTAACGTCCATTATATTATTTAAATAATGCAATCTTACTGTATTTGTATACCTTATGTTTTAGTAAACCAGGAGGTATAGCATGCACAGCTTGCAAACCAGGTACTATTAAATTAAACTGGATAAAATTTTGTTTATAATACTGTATGTGCTTAATGAATGTTGTAAAGGTGTAAAGGTTGAATTTGGATGTATGAAGAGTTTAATTATAGCTAAATTCAAAAGTAGAGGGATGTAATAAAGTAGACATTTCCCATTCTTCATTTCAAAAATAGTTTGTCACTTCAGGCTTGGAGCATGGTGTGGAGTGTGTAGTTTACTAAAGCATAGATTGTTGCAGCTCTATAGTGTGTAATTCAGCCTTTTTCCTCATCTTTTAGGGCAATATCAACCCAAGAAAGGTGGTACAGTCTGTTTAAGTTGTAAGCCAGGCAATTACTCAAGGTAAAAGTTAACTAAAGTTATTCAATCATTTTGATTTGGTACGTATTATTATTATAATAATCACAGTAGCGGTTAGAAGTTACTTAACCCTAAGTGACATAATGCGCTCTGATGCACCTTACTTTATTATTTTACTTGATTGTCTAATGCCAGACAATTTTACTTCTCCAAGGAAGAGTGCTGGCACTCAACAAGTTAATTATAATTTTTTCTGGTTGTTTTTAGTGAATCTCACAGTACACAATGTAAAATCTGCTCACCTGGAACTTTCAGCAATGTATCAGACTCGATAGTTTGTTCCTCATGTTTGAAAGGTCGACTGTTCAATTCCATTATAAATATTTGTACAAATTTCTATTTTGACCTACAGTACAAACATTCTAGTTTATTTATCAATTCCTTTGTCCACCAATTTTTTGGCCTATTTTAAATTGTATGAAAATATGTCATTTGTACTGTAGGCCATTAATTCCAAATCCTGTGATTACAAAATCTTATGAAAAAATCTTATTTTCAGGTCACTATCAGCCTAAAAGTGGTGGTACATCCTGTCAACCTTGTCCTGTTGGAGAATTTTCAAGGTTGTTTGCTTTATTTAAATGTTTTTTCAAACAACTTTTGGCTAACTGTAAAATATAAAAAGTACTGTAGATCTTGAAAAAATCTTTTTTCAAATTCTGTAGTGCAACCAAAAGCACAAAATGTGAAGAGTGTTCTCCAGGAACATTTGCCAGTACTACAGGATCGAGTTCATGTGCAGTGTGTAAAGCAGGTACAGTATATTATGATTAGACTCCTGTTTTAGTTAGTAATTGACTGATAATTGGTATCAGGCCAATTTTTTCCTTATCAGTAGACAATCTAATTTGAATGAAATTATCTGACTGTATTTTTTATGTATTTTTTGTATTTATGCACTATAATCGGTATCGGGTAGTGGATTGTTGCATGAATAATCAGTAATTGGTACTTCCTGATTGTGGCCCAATTGGTCAAACACCAGTTTTACAGTAGTTTCTTGCACATCACATTGTGATATTTACTGAGTTGAAGACAAGATTTGAACAAAATTAATAACATTTTTCCAGGGTCTTATCAACCATCAAGTGGTAGTAAAACATGTCTGCCTTGTCCAGCTGGTCAACATTCAAGGTACTATTAATACTGTACTAGTTTCACTTACAGTTAGATTAAATTTTTCCATTCAAAAATTTAATCTATAAATTTTTCCATTCAAGTTGCTTTTTACATAATTATGCATATGGACATATAGTTAACATTGTACCTTTAATATTTTAGTACTGAAGTTTAACCAAACCAGCATTTTTCTATTCCAGTGTAAATAAAAGCACGAAATGTCAAAAATGTTCTCCAGGGACTTCTGCTAGTGGTACAGGGTCAATTTCCTGCCCTGAATGTAAAGCAGGTATGATGTTATTTTTATTTTGCATGATATTGTATCTGTAGAGTGTAGAATAAAGTTTGATAAAATTTATTGACCCAGTAAGTTAAATTGCACAAACTTTATTATTTTACTCTGTCTAATGCCAGACAATTTTGCTCATCAATGGGAGAGCAGTCAATAGGTAATTAGCTTTATACAGTCCTGTATTTTATCTAGGATCCTATCAACCAGCAAGTGGTGGCAAAACGTGTCCAGCTTGCCCAGCTGGAGAATATTCAAGGTACGTTTGCTTCTTTCAATTTTGATATGTTTACTACAGAAATTAGTTGACATGTGGTAACCAAATTCAAATTTATTCTAGTAATACAGGGTCAACTTCCTGCTCTGAATGTAAAGCAGGTATAATGATATTTCTGTTTTGCATGATATTAATCATTTGGCTGTAGAGTGTAGAATAAAGTTTGACAAAATGTTTTAACCCATTAAGTTGCATTGCGTCCTATTGCACCCTACTTTAATCTTTTACTCTGCCAAACGCCAGACAATTTTACTCATCAAGGAGAGAGCACTGGTGCTCAAGGGTTAACCTTATACGGTATAATACTGTTTTTTTTTACACTGTAGGATCCTATCAACCAGCTACTGGTGGAAAAACGTGTCCACCTTGCCCGGCTGGAGAATATTCAAAGTATGTAACTTGCTTCTTTGAATTTTAGTATTTTTACTACAGAAATTTATTGATATGTGGTAGCGGTAACCAAACTAGTGTTTTTCTATTCCAGTGCACGCAAAAGCAAAACATGTCAGAAATGTTCTCCAGGGACGTGTGCTACTAATACAGGGTCAACTTCCTGTTCAGAATGTAAAGCAGGTACAATCATCATAATATTTCTATTTTGCATGATATCTGACTGTGGAGTAAGTTTTGACATACATACATACATACAACCTATACATTTTATCTAGGATCCTATCAGCCAGCAAGTGGTGGCAAAACGTGTCCCCCTTGCCCAGCTGGTCAATATTCAAGGTACATTTGGTTCTTTGGATTTCATGGCAATGACTAACATTGTAATATTCTTTAGTAACCAAACTAGCATTTTTCTATTTCAGTACAACCAAAAGCACAAAATGTCAGAAATGTTCTCCGGGGACGTCTGCAAGTAATACAGGGTCAACTTCCTGTTCAGAATGTAAAGCAGGTAAAATGATATTTTAATTTTGCATGATATCTGCCTGTACTGTAGAATAATTAATGACATGAAAATTTTAAAAACCTGTACATTTTATCTAGGATCTTATCAGCCAGCAAGTGGTAGCCAAACGTGTTCGCCTTGCCCAGCTGGTCAATTTTCAAGGTACATTTGGTTATTTGGATTTAATGGCAATAACTAACACTTTAATATTTTTACTACAGAAATTAATTGATATGTAGCAGACTGGTAACCAAGCTAACGTTTTTCTATTCCAGTGGAACCAAAAACACAAAATGTCAAGACTGTTCTCCGGGGACTTGTGCTGCCAGTACAGGGTCAACATCCTGTTCAGGATGTGAAACAGGTATATGCAGTATACATTATAGCGGTCCGTATTGGGAACCAATCAAATTGCTGTGTTTTGTACAATTTTAGCAGGAACTGCAACTTGCTTTTTTTTCCCAAGGCCATTACCAACCCAATAAGGCATCGAAATCATGTTGGCCTTGTCAGCCAGGGTATTTTTCAAGGTACTGTATTTAGATTATGGTTATTAACTAAGCGAGAATGAGAGTTGGTGAGATTTGCATGCAACTCTTGCTTGTAATTGACCGCCAATTTTCATCCTCTCTTATGCACTCTCATCAACTTTGAGCCGATTCAAATTTTGACGATACTTGTCCAGACAACTCTTATCAACTCTCATGCAACTCTTGTTCTTGTTTGACTGGGGCATGAGGGTTGAGAAAACCTTCGTGTAAACTCTTGACGATACTTGTCCAGACAACTCTTATCAACTCTCATGCAACTCTTGTTCTTGTTTGACTGGGGCATGAGGGTTGAGAAAACCCTCATGTAAACTCTTGCTCCTCAACTCTCATCAACTCATAACTTTTTATTCCGGTTCCAAACCTTAGTTGCAGAGTTTACATTGTGTTCACATTGAATTAATATTCAGTTTGCTTATTCTGTATATTGGGTTATTTTTTGTTTTTAGTAAAGTTCAAAGTATCAAATGTGAAGCGTGTTCTCCAGGAACGTTTGCCAACATTTCGGCATTAACACAGTGCTACGAATGTCCTAAAGGTATACTTTTGTAAAATATCGTGCATATGGTTTCTTTAAAACTTAACATTTTATACTGTCCACAGAGATGTATTGGTTTAAAATGTTTTTATTCAGTAAAACGTGGGTTCAATTTTGTCGCAACTAACTGTCGTAAGCAAGTCATGGTCAAGTCAACAGACAGTTTAAGCTTCGCGTTATACGTCAAACGGCAAACTCCAGGCAGTATCAGGCAATAAAGAGTAAATGAACTTGCTGTTTAAAACGTACTGAAATACATAATTATTCTTTCGACGCAAGAAAGAAAATATGAAACGAAAACGTTCAACGAAAATTTTGCCAAGAAAGTTCGAACCTGCCGTTTGCCGGAAACGTGAAGCTTAAACTCCCTAATGTCAAGTACAGAAATAGTCTGGAACTTTTTTGTGTGCTCTATTTAATTTAATTTATTAACTTGGCCAGATAGTCTTGACAGTTATTACAGAGTAATAATTATATACATTTCACGAACTAAATATAGACAATGGCAGGGTATTAGCCAATTACTGCGAACCCAAGAACAATACGTTAACATCAAATAGCAAACGACTAACTTCATGCATTTAACTAAGTATTTAACTAGCTACAACAACTTGTCATGATAATAGCATGACTAGTATGCATCTGGCTATGCCATCTCTCTATGCATCTGCCTTTCCATTGCCTTGCACCCCATTGCCAAGGCTAAGGGTGTCCACCTCTGCGGCCCTCCCAGCAAATCCATCCTTGAATTTATATATAAGATGCAAAGAAGCGTCGTCGAGTGATCATACGTATACTGCTGTAATGCAAGAGTGTGATCATTGAAAAATTGCGATTTTTTGTTTAAGTAATTTTTTAAAAACATTTATGTTGGTTTAATTCATAGTTAATTTTGTGTTTCTTCATTCTTTGCAGGACACTACAATGCTTTATCAAATGCGACTAAATGTCTGGCCTGTACCAAGGGTTCATACCAGAGTAGCGAAGGACAATTGTCGTGCGAAGTGTGTCAAGTTGGCTTTATTTGCAAGTATGGATTACTGTATACTGTAGTGTTCTCGTCTAAGATACCACAGAGTGTAGCAAGCAGGGTCAGCGCGTTGCCTTCCATTGCTAATAATGCATGTCCTCGTGCACTGCTGTGATTTGGTTAGACTTGCACAAATCCGCCTCATAATTTTCCAGCATGAGCTCCAGCTTTGAATTTACTATTTATCTTAATAATAAATTCGCGGCACCTAACACTAACCCCAACTCTAACCGCTAACCCCTAACCCCAGCCTCCCTTTTATTGCAATTACATTTATAACAAGAAATCTTGTCTAATGCTTGTGGTTTATGATTAACTCTATTGATAAATTCAAAATGTGCCGCGAATTTATCATAATGATAAATTCGGACGTGTTTAAGAATTTACTCATATAGTAAATAAAAGTTTTATTGCGCAAGCGAAGATGAGGTGAAATACCTGTAAAAATGCCGCCGTTGAAAATGACTTTGCGAAAGTCTATGATTTGGTGTTCTGCAGTACTCGTATGCATGAGACTATCCAGTTTAGGATTGAGATCAGTTTGTTAGGAGAAGAACTTTCTGTTTCATCTGAGAAAGACATTGAGGTTGTATTTGTTCATATCTCTGAAATTGTATTCTTACAGTATTTTTCGCGTACGGTTAGGGTTAGGGTTGGGGTTTGGGTTAGGCCTTGGGGATAGTCTTGTGATTAAGGTCAAGGATGCTATACCGTCATTGACTTTCACCACTATATTACGCTGTAAATATAGCCACAAACATTCCATCCCATGTTTAAGAAGAGGTTTTTAATCGACGTTTTGTTTATTAGTTTTTCCTGTTTGTTTCTGCAGTCATTTAGGTTGTATCGTGTGTGATAAATGTCCAGGTGGTTCGGATACGGACTTAAAAACTGGACAAACAGAATGTACTCAATGTGACAAAGGTACATGTACAATGGACCATTCCCCAATTAACCAAAATTTTGATCTCAACAAGTTTAGACAAAAATTTCATCACAGCTTGAAAGAGCATCACAAAATTAGTAATATTCCAAAGTTTCGTTGCAAAATGTTGTAATATGCGGATAATATAGCCTTGCGAAGTTTGTAATTTTAAGTCATTTTGTATTACGCACAGAAGTGGTAACCATTTCCCGTTTGTAATCTAAAATGACTGAAAATTGCAAACTTCGCAAGGCTATATTATCCGCACTTTACAACATTTTGCAACGAAACTTTGGAATATTACTAATTTTGTGATGCTCTTTCAAGCTGTGATAAAATTTTTGTCTAGACTTGTTGAGTTCAAAATTTTGGTTAATTGGGGAATGGTCCATTGTATCATCAGATTTATAAAAAACTAATATAATTATGATTTTATGAACTGATAACTTGATTAGCATTACGGTCCGTTAGAAAAAACTGGAATTTATAGCTGGGGAAAATGGTATAAAAACTGTTTATGACCTTCAGAACTATTAGACGTCAATGGATTCCCCGGTCGAGACTCTGAAATCCATAAATCGTTTCCTTTTGTGTAGGTTTCTACAAACCCGACGGAGTTATTTCATGTAAGCCATGTGAAAGTGGTTATTATCAACCCAATCCTGCGAAGAGGGAATGTTACGAATGTCCTCGCGGATTTTATTGTCCGGTTAGTATTCCTAAAGCTACAATGCCATGAGTATGTTTTGAATGGTTATGCATGCCGAAGATTAAAAAATACGTACATTGTACTGTGCCCTTGCTTGCAGCTGAGAGCAAGCTGAATTGCGAAGGATGGAGCTCAAAACAATAGGGACCTTATTAAGCATGTACGACTGCAACGCGACGACGACAGCCGAAACAAACTTCTTCAAATAAATTATTGCGAAGAAGAGTTGTTGTGTATTATCCACTGCATGTATATATGAATTGAGTTCAGTTTGAAGAAATTAAAACAAAGGCTTTATGGTTAAAAACGCTTCTGCTGAGCAAATTTGTAGTTTCACTTGTCGCGTCTTGACATGTTTGCGTTGTACACGAGACGTGAAAATATCTGGTTTGCCGTTGTAAAAAGCACTAACACAACGTCTCTAACTCCCGTGAGGCTTTTGATTATTCATTTCTTTTGTAAAAGATCAGGAATATCATTGTGTGAATAGCCGTCGTCGTCGCGTTGCCGTCCTGTTTGCTTAAGGTCCCTACCATAGCAGTCACGCATACGTGATAAAAAGCATATCAACTTTATAAATAAAATATAAGATTCGGCCATCTCAAATAATGGTAATGTTGGGATAGTAGCGTTACAGACTGCAGAGGAGAGTGGGCAGTAAAACTCCCTCATGCACCACCCCATGGGAAACCTGCTTCCCTCCTTGCAGATGAGGCTAGATCCACCCCTAATCTATGGTAATCATGAACTCCCTAAACCACATGATTCAACCTACAGTGTAAGTACCTTTGTTAGAAATAAAATTATCCATTTTTTCTTTAATTCGAGCTTGACCGACGTCCGTCAAGCTTGCTTTAATGAGGCTGACAAGTCTAAAAATGGCATGGAGAACAGCGAGATTTTCAAAACAATGAAAAGACAATGGAACATTCTGATGACTGGATCATGACTGGATGGCATTGCACGAGTACAGTGGGGTTTTCAAAACAGTGAAAAGACAATGGAGCATTCCAGCTGGACTGGTCTGGCTCATACGAGCAGCTCCTAAAAGATCGAAACTCCACTCACTCTGTAGCAGTTGCATAGGACTCAGGATGAATAGAAGTTGAATCCAGTTTATTAAAAAGTATCAGTATTGGTGTATGTTTTCTCTTCTTACTGGTCGATGGTCCACTTCCATCTGCCTTCCTCTTGCCAGACAATTTCCCTTTGTCGCTCTTTCCCCCCTCTTCACTATCCGTATCAAGAGTAATGATCTGTGGAGGGTGCTGAAATATGCGCACAAATCCAGCACACTGTTCAAACGTCTTCTCCCCGATGCCACGAACTTCTTTCAGCTGTTCGCGACTTCGAAATGAACCATTCCGTTCACGCCATGCAATAATTTCCTTCGCCTTGCGTTCATTAAGACCTGCGATTCGTCTGAAAAGTAAACAATGCTGAAACGTTTACTGTACGAGTATACGGTAGGTACTGTCGTGTAGTATTGTAGGTGTCGTAAGCAGGGTTCCCAAAAGAATTTCGAGGAGGAGGAAAAGCTAGAAACATTTCCCTCGACATTTCTATGGTAAAGAAGAATTTACAATTTTGATTATCTACGCTGTAGACAACAAAGATCGTTGGGTGCCGGCTTCTACTGGGAACCTTGGTTGTATTGTGATGTATATATTCTCGTTTGAGACATGCAGAAGTTAATTTTTTATCAAGTGATTTGAGTAATTCGATTTTATTTTTTGGACACTACAAGTATAATATTTAACATACTTCAGTGCATGAATGCCAGATGCATTCAAATCCACTCCCACTAAACTCACACAGTCTTCAAGAACACCATTTAGTGCTTGTTGTAACAACTGCTCTGGAATATCGTGCTACAAAAGAAATATAACGAGTTCAGGGAAACTAAACTAAACTAGCTTTATTTATACAATAAGAGATGTGATCCTTATACTGGACCTCTTTAGAACTGATATCCAGTATAATTTTTTAAAATTAAATTATAAAAATTATACTGGATACAGCTAGGTCCAGTAAAGATCATATCTCTTATTGTTCCAGTGTTACTACAATAAACTTTATTTCTACTGGGTAGCTTTATCAGTTCTACAATTGTTCTTCATAGGTGTGTGGTAAGACATATCCCTTATTTAAGCGACAATCTGACAAGAAAACTTTACATTCCAGGAATCGAGACATGGTCTGACCATCGGTGCGACCAAAATCGTACCTGGTACATTCCAACTCCAATGTGTCTTGGTTCAATTTTGATCAACTCCAACATAGGATTCTGCAGACGCCTTGCTATTGAAACTGTGGAAATACTATCATGTATAAGTTATCTCGTAGTAAATAGTAATACAGACTGTGACTGCTGAATTCACATAAGCCAGAGGCTCATGATACAATACACGCTCAACATGAAGAAGACAAGGAGAATCCAGGGAAAAATCGTCGCATCACAGGAAAGCCCCAACTAAACTCTACTACTTATATGTTTTGAGCACAGGGAAGGTAACCAACTTACTAAATAGCTTATCCTTGACATATGGTAAGTAGCAGGGGACAGGTAACCCATACTCAAGCATTTGGCAAACAGTAACAGCAAGAAATTAAAACAAGGTAATAATTCCTACCTGCACTTCGAAGATTCACATCTAAATTCGGCAGTTCCTTCTGTGCTTCTTCAGACACGCTATAGACGGACGCTCCGTCTTCACTGACGATACTAAACAAAAATAACATACTGTATATACAGACATGTAGTGAATGTTATTCTAAACCCTGCAGGCTGCTTCTTTATTTACGTCATGTCTGAGGCTTTTTGGAGGAGGAAGCTAAGTAAACTGGGATATGGATTTAGCTGCGCAAATTCTGCACTGTTAGGTATCTGTATAATATGATATCACAACTATTTCCAACAAGTGTAATTTACCATTATTTTGAAAAGCAAACCTTCCAATAACAAGGAATAAATTCAGTGCACATGTCACAAGTGTGTCTACATGTAATTGAGCATCCTTCCTCCATCCCTCCTCCTTCTACCAGCCTCCCCATTCCTCATATATAATTCAGAACTGAAATATCATTGGCAGTAGATTATTAATTCTACCTGTACACAACATCACTCCTCAGTTTCCCTGCATTTTTCATCCGAGTTATGAAATTTTCAGTCTCACGACATCCCTTGCCATTGCCAAGAGCGATCGTGTTACAACTACAAAGTACAAGTTTAAGCATAAGATAGTCTGCAAAAGATAGTCTGCAAAAGATAGTCTGCATAAGATAGTCTGCATAAGATAGTCTGCATAAGATAGTCTGTATAAGAGTGTGTGATAGGTGCAAGTGCAGATCGAAGGTTATGCATAAGCTGTTATTCTATAATCAGTGGTCCAGTTAATTAACAATGCATTCGTTGTTCTTACTTGTGTTTTAAAAGGAGTCCTTGTAATCGTTCCTCGCAATGTCGAGCATCACGTCCAAGCAGATCAAGAACAGCAGTATCCAGGATGCCCCCTATATATTTAGAAAAAAGGTGGGGGTGCTATTTTTCGTGGTAAAGCAAAAAATAGAAACAAAATAAGATACAGTAATTCGAACAATAACAAGATGATAAACGAACTGTGAACAACAATTACAAATCAATATATTATGTTTAGTGGCGTAGCCAGCCTGACAATTCAGTCCCGCTATGCAAATAATGCCATTGTTTATAAACTATCAATTTCTAAAGAAATTACTGGCTATGCCACTGAGTTGGCTACGCCACTGAGTATGTTGATGGCTGGGCGGCACACATGACCGACACAACTTGGCACCAGAACACCCCACCCCCTACCAGATCATGCTGGATCCATCCCTGCTGCATTGTGGCTGGATTATGAATGGCATTAAACTATTAAAATGTAATAAAATAATAAAAGGTGTAATAAAAAAGATCGAAACTTTTTATCCTACCAGTCTCATTGATAACAGCAATTTTACTGCCATGTTTAAAGCCAGGATCAATGGCTAGCACGTTACGTCCAGTCACAGGAGGTGTGAGGAGAAGACGATGTAGATTTCTGGAAAACACCTGAACTGATTCACGTTCTGCTTTCTTCGTCAGCTCAATTCTAGAAATAATATCACTATCATGCATCGTACAGAATGTCAAACATTGGGCTTGTTGAGATCATTGTGTATTAGCCACTAATGCACAAGACTCTCTGTGAGTAAAATCATCCTGCATTAGACAGAGTAAATACTATATTCATGCAAAAGGTTATGAGTAAATAAGATAGGCTGCTACATTTTTATTGTTGTGGTGAATTTTCTCCTAATAAATTAATTGCCAACTAATTCTTACCTGAAGTTCCTTGTATGTTTGCATGGTGTATTGGTGATAAAACATATAATTCTTTTTGTTTGTGGAAACACCACATAAATTTATTACTGCATGTAATAAATTCACATGGTTTTTCCACAAACAAAAAGTATTATATAATTCTCACCTCTTATGTCTGAACAGCTTGGGCAACATCAGCCTGTTGTAAGCATCTATTAGTGATGTAGACATTATCCCCCTAACAAAACCTGTAAAAGAATGCAAATATGCTAGCTGGACTGCTCATAAACAAGCATTGATAAAAAGCTTTGGGAAATGCGTTGCTGGCTGTGTTCATTTTGCATTCAAATTGGAATTTTGCAGGCTATTTCTGAAAAGTGATGTATACATTCTTAAATAGTAAACTAAAACTCTTTTTAACAAGTATTAATAAAACTGCCATATAATTATGCTCAACATTAATTGGCAGAGAACTAGCAAATTGTATCATGAAAATTGAACCAGCTCAGCTGAGAAGCTATAATATTACATAAATACTTTTAAATAATTTTCAAAACTTACCAGACAATCTGTTACTGATGAGAATATGTTGTCTTTCAGCTTGGTGCAAAAATATCCGTTCAAGGTTTTGTGGGCAGTTCAACTTCACTTGAAGAATCTTTTCACCTTCTGCACGATTGATTGCAAGAATCTACAAAGAATATTAAAACATCATACTCAGCAACTACTAACAATTAACACCTTGTTCAATGACCATTCCTTTTTCAGAGATATGACATAATGTTCAAATCCTTCCAATGCCAGATAATTTTCACATTAACCCTTTAAGTGGCAATGCTCCCTGATGTGTCCTACTTTACTATTTTACTCTTAAGTGGCAATGCTCCCTGATGTGTCCTACTTTACTATTTTACTCTGTCTAATGCCAGACGATTTTACTCATCAAGGGGAGAGTGCTACCACTCAATGGATTGATCAGATTATCTGTCCATGCATCTGTTAACCCTTTAAGTGGGAATGTGCCCTTTTTATTTTGTCTAACTTACTCGTCAAGGGGAGAGTGCTGCCCAGTGGCGAAGCCAGCCCGACAGTTTGGTCATGCTATGCAAATTTTAAATGATTATCATTATTCATTTCTTTAGAAATTTATTGTTTTCACGGTCTATGAACATGGAAATATTTGCATAGCATGACCAAATTGTCGGGCTGGCTTCGCCACTGGTGCTGCCACTCAGTGGGTTAAAGGGTGGATTGTCAAATTCATATACATTATGCACCAATGCCTGGGTGGACAGAGTCTGTCAATAAATGAAAATACACTACTGTAATAGACTAAATGGAAATAATGTATCCCCACCACCTGCCACACACCCTCCACCACTCCCCCCCCCCCAAGATTGACAGGTTTGGGCTCTCCACTCACTCCACTGAACTATACCTGATGTGATTTAACTTGTTTTACTGAGAAAGAACTTTGATGGTAGTCCTTGTATTTGGTTTCTTTTTCAAATTCCTCCCGAACTTTCGTTTCCAACGTGATACGACTGTTTTCAAACCTGCGCAGTGTTAGGAGAAGTGACATCATGTCAACATCAAATACCAGACATAGTAAAAATTTGCACATGTTGTAGCTACTAGTAAAGTGGCAACCTGATGCACCCTACTTTATTATTTCACTCTGTCTAACACAGTGGCAGACACTAGGGGGGGGGGGGGGGG